AATCAGGATCCAGAGCTCACCTGCTTAGCCATGAAGGTGGACGGAAGGGGCAGGTGCCCAGTATTGTGCCAGAGAAAGTGCATGTCCTGGGGAGCCCACAGGAGGTGCCCACAGCCCAGACTTGTGGCTCAGGGAGCCGTGCTGATTTGAAATTCAAATCAGATCATGCATGTCAATCTTCTTCTCAAAATTCCTTAATGGCTTCCCTCATAATTTAGAATAAAATTCACAGGTTTCACACGTGGCCTACAAATGCTCTGCTCACTGGCCTTTCTCATTGCCACCCTATGGATCCAGACCTTAGACTGCAGCACCTGTAAGTTGTCACTTACTGTCTTTACCCACCCAGCTCCTACTCAGTGTTTAGGTCTCAAATTCAGAGTCATTCACAAAGGCCTTCCCTGTCTCCTAATCTGCATTAATCCCAATAATAACTAATGATAATAATAATTAGACCCAACACTAAATAATACTAGATGGTGGGCAGTATTCTAAATGCTTTATGTATAATAGTTTACTTAAATATTACAACAAGCCTAATGGTAAGTATTAATATTATTCCCATGTTTACAGGTGAGGCAATATTATAGTATTCTGTATTTTTCTTCATTATAATGATCAAATGTGTAATCGTGTATTTATTTGCTTAATATTTCCTGGGCTATCAGGTCGACAAGGCGAGGCTGTAAATGCTTTCTCTTCCCCATTGTATCTCCAGTGTCTAACACAGTGTCTCATCTATAGTAAGCATCTAATAAACATTATTGAATAAATTAATAAATGGATAACTACCATGTAGGAGATACTTCTTTTAAGATTTACACATTTTTTATGACTTAAATTGGATAGGCAATAAAAGAATTGGAGGAGATTATTATATAGTAGCTATTACAGCTGTAGATGATTCAGTTTGTTTGCTCTCCTGTTGTAAAATTCTCACCACCCCTCTTTTCATCAGTTATAACTTCTGAGGTTTACAATGGGGTGGGGCCGGGACAGCGTGGTCTAGACGACAGGAAAGAACATGTGTTTTCAAGAAATACAGATCTGGGTTTCGGTTCTGACTTTGTCACTAACTGTGTGGTCTTTGAGTAGACCCCATGTGTTCCCTGGGCCTCTTTTTCTAAATCTGTGAAATCAGGACAACCATCTACAAAACCGTTCAGTTTTGGGAATTAGGTAAGATAATGTATGTAGAGGGCCAAGCCCCGTGCCTGACACATAACGGGAGTTGAATAACTGGTAGCTCCTTTCCTCTCCTGCAATCAGAGGCAAGCAGGTGGGCATTAGAAACTATATAGTTTGCCAGGTGGGCAGTACTAGCCAGATTAGACCCTAGAAATTTGAAGTCAAAGCACTACTGAGGATGGAGTGGCAAAGACTGCATTATCTGAATGGGCTGGATAATGGATCAAATGGCCTGGGTAATTGTCATGGCCCCAGCTCATGCCATGGACACAGCCAAAGAGGAGGTAGGAAAAGTGTACAAAACTCTGAGGAGTGACGTTTGCTACTTGTCATCAGCTCTGGCTGGGAGTAAGACAATAAACTAAGAAAAAGATCCAGTGAGTTCTGTTGCCTATTCTCTGTTTCAAGGGGGACAGTCCCTGCTTTGTTTCTCTTCTCTTGGTGAAAGACTGTTCCCTGAAATGCTCCTGGCTTCCGAGAATATCTCTAAAGTCAACTCCATAAAGTGCTGGCCAAGGGTTGATCAGAAACAAGCAAGCAGAATTCACCCTGCCCCCAAGATCATGTGGTCCTGGGGATGCAGGAGGGAGAAAACAGGGAACTCAGAAGGTCCCCTTCCTTCCTCATTCATTTCCCAACATCCATGTTCATTCTTCTCTAGGCCAACCCTGACCTTCTTTCCTCCTTCCCTCCCAATAAAGGGAAAACAAAGGGGTAGGTGTGTAAGAGGAGGCCTTCACATTCTCAGAAGATCGAGGGCAGAAGGGTCTTTCCAAAAGGAGTCAAAGCCATGCCCTGGGCTAGACTCTGCTAGCAGGTTTTATCTTTTCTCCAAAGGGAAGCTCTGCACCAGCTCCCATTGTTAATCTCTGCTGAGCTCCCCAAGTCGAAAAACCTGTGTCCATGCAGGTGTGCACTAAGCCCTAAACATTGTATTTAAATACAATTCTGTATTTAACATTGTATTCAAATATAGCTGTAATGGGTTGTAGAGTTGCAATTATTGTAAAAGAGAAGTCCGGTTAGGCTTATGCAAGAGAAAGCTCTCAGTCAACTAAGATCCTTTATCTGAGTCCTAATCCAGCATTCTCTGCAATCTGTTTTTCAGAGAAAGAGCAATCCTTGTATGGTGTCCTACCTTCAGCTCCAAATCTATTTCAGATTTTTATGGTTTCAGGGAAAACGAATCTTAAACTTCGAGAAAGCTTGCCTTCTAGATTGTATTACTATAGAAGGGAAGTAGATCAGAACCCTTTAGAAAGTACTGAGCAAGGCTTTCTGTTTTGGTTCCCTGCTTATGCCAGCAGGCCTGGGCCTCTAACTATCACACACTGACCACTGCTATGGGAAACACATTGCATAACATGATTAATAAAATGCTACTAATAGTGACACTTTCTAAGTGTCACAAGCAATTCTAAGTGCTTTTTGTATGTTTACACATTGAATCCTTACAACCAATATATGAGATATGTAAAGTTTCCATCCCAATTTTGGAGGTGAGGCAATTGCAACTTGGAGAGGTTAAGTAATTTGTCCCAAGGTCAATTAATGGAGTTGGGATTTGAGAGGGGCAGTCTGGCTCCAGAGTCTTTACTCTTAAGCACTACACATATAGCTTTTCTCATTTAACCTTCACAGCAATCTTACAAGATGGAATATTAAAATGCCTACTTTCTAGACAAAACAAAAACAAAAACAAAACACAAGGAAAACAACTGAGTCTTAGAGAAGTACTAAGGTTTTGGCCCAGGTATTCCCAGCCCAGTTCAATTCAATATACTAAATGAGTACCTACTTTGTGCCAGCACTATGCTAGGCATTAAGAGCACAGTATGAAGTAATAAGCTAGTTATAGTCTTTTTTTTTAAATTGTATTTCTCTTAGCACTGCCACTTCCCCCTGAAGTAATGGATGATAAAGAGCTTACTTCAAGTGAAAAGAAGTTACCTGTAGTCAAGATTAGCCAGCACTGTATCCATGCCTCAGAGCTAGAAAATATTTAGACAAGCCAAATATGAATTTTCTAATCCTTCCTGATTCAGGTATGGGCATATACTCATTTGTATTTTTTCATTCCATAAACATTTATTGAGCATCTACTATATTCCAGGTCATATTCTATAAAATGGGGATATTGAAAAAAATTAGCACTTGAACTTGGGACAGTCTTAGTTGAAAAGGGAATAAAATTAAATAAATACAGCATAATATGACAAGCCAATTATTGAGTTTGAGATAATAACTAAGATAATAATTGAGAATAATTTTGGATGTGTGGCAGGGAGCACCTACAGAAGATGGCAGATATGCTGAGTGTTGAAGGGTAAGGAATGTACTTTTCAGATGGGAATGAGTAAAAGAATTAGTGTTTACTAAGCATGTGTTATATATATCAGGCTCTGGATTGAAATTATGTTTTTAGTTGAATCCTGACTCCAGAATCCAAGATTCAGTGAGTCAAAAGAACTTATTCACTTGACAATGTAAGAATATCCCCGAGCTGAATACGTGAGTGATATTTTTGCAAAAAGGCAGCTCGGACAGAGGGAACTGCATGTACAAAGGCCAAAAGGCAAGAAGAACCTGACATATGAGGGACAGTATGTTCAGGGCACCTCAGCCATCAGTTGTGCATGGGGGTTAAAGTGCAAGATGAGAACAAAGAAGGAATTAGGAGCAAAATTCTGCAGGAATTGGTAAGAAGAAGGGATCTTGTGTTGAAGGCAAAGGAGAGCCAACTAAGGAAATAACTATCATTGGGTTTAGAAGATTAATTCTAGTACCTGAATGGAAGGTGGATTGCAGCAGGGAAGGATTAAGGAAGACAAACCGAGGGGGAGGTCCACCATAATGGTTTAAGTGTGGGAGGATGAAGCACTGAATTAAGAAAGAAGGGATGGAGAGGAAAAGAAGGGGGGATGATTCAAAGAAAGGCTATAAAAATCTGCTGTTGGTTGGGCTCCTGGGTGGCTCGGTCGTTGAGCGTCTGCCTTCAGCTCAGGTCATGATTTCAGGGTCCTGAGATGGAGTCCCACATCAGGCTCCCTCCTCAGCAGGGGGTCTGCTTCCCCCTCTGCCTCTCCCTGCCCCCATGCACTCTCTCACTCTCTTTCTCTCTCTGTCTGAAATAAATAGATAAAATTGTTAAAAAAAAAAAAAAAAAAGGAATTGGCTGCTGGAGGTAAAGAGAGAGATAAAGGATGGACTGTGAAGCCACTACTCAAAGCTAGGAATATAGGAGAAGGAGCAATGGTGGAGGCGGAATGGATCCAGGTCTCCAGATGCACCAAAAGGGGTGAGCAACGGTGGTCAGATGTCTGGCATTTATATACACACTAAAAAAGAAAACCAAACATATATATCAATATATGTGTCTACACACACACACACTAACTGATAAGCAAGTGGGGCGGTGTGGGAGTAGGAGAGCACAGGTTGGGAAGGGAGATGAGAGCTGAAACCAACATGGTGGATTCAGGTGACCAGATCTGAAGCAAGCTGTCTGCTCAGGATGGCTCCTTAACCCTGAGGTGGAGGAGTCCAGGTATGAGGTGAATCTTTGGCTCTGACTCCTGGGGCTGTCCAGGTAAATGGAGCTGTCAAAAATACCCAGAAGGAGACAGATGTTTCCTGAAGGGCTCTCTCTCACACACCTGGGAGCTGCATGACCAGACTTGAGGTAGGCAGCAGCTGCGGCTCTGGAGGACCCAGGCACGTGGGCAGCCTCTTGCCTGCTGCGGCAGCTCTGCAGATGAGGCGGATGAGGCAGCTGAGAGAAGTGAACCTTTCCCCCTAGCCTCCTCCTCCACCCCTTGCTTCAGAGCCCCCAGTGCCCCAGCACAGTGCAGGCTGCATTAAGGTCGATTCGTGGATGGAGGGCTGTGGCTACAAGCCATGCAGAAGTGGCAGAGAGGACACAGTTGTGCGCGTGTGTGGATGTGTGTGTGTTCAGAAAACACTGTTTACTCAGGGAACCCTACATCAAACACAGCCTTGCTGGCAGACAATAGCGGTTTGCCCAGACAATTTATGCCACCAAATAAACATCAAGATGGGCTGTGGAGAGCTGAAGGTGAGACACGTTTTCAGAAGTGGGGGGCCACCCCTCACGGTCTCAATTACAGGAGATGCTTTTGAACACAAAACACTGAGGCAACAATATATGGGCATCGCCTGAGCCTACTGTAACCAAAGAGAAAGAAAGGCCGGAACTAAAATGCAAAAGAAAAAAATAAACTGTGTTTGGAGATAGGTCTGCTACAGTATAAACTTTTCCCTTTCTCTGGCTTACTGCTATAGCAAAAGCTGATGGTTGTCTTTGTAAAAAAACGTGTCTGTATCTAGGTCCCTGGCAGTGATTTGCCTCTGGGAGGGCCAGCAATCTATTTAATGACTCCATTGACGTCAATAGCATAACTGAAATACTTACTAACATGCATGATTCCAACTTTCTGGGGGGGTGGGTGGATGGTGTTTCTCGGCAGCACAGAAACATGAAGTGGAGTCAACCCGGAATGGACTCAAGTTTTGAGGCAGCAAGTGAGAGATTAGATGCGGCAGGTTTCGCTGGTGCCACTGAATACGAAGAAGCGTTCACACTAAATTTAGAAATTAATTTTGAACTGGGGAAATAGCCATTAATGAGCAGGGCTTTATTTTTGGCAATGTTTGCTCAAGGGTAACATTTTAACTATTCACACTTCAGTTGACTTGTCAAAGTTTTTGCAACTACCCACACTTAATTTTAGACATACATGAAATAATTGCAGATCAATATAAATAGCCTGATATTGATGCTCTGGGGTGAATGTTCAGAAGAGGGCTATTTTAGACAAAAGCAGTTCTTATAAAGCAACCATTTGGGGAATTATTCCCAGAATTACTGGGGCTTTTCTAGCGCATTTGCCCTAACATTTGTGTGCAGGCTGCTTAAACACTCGAGGTGAGTCATTAAGGCAATTATTCCAATAATTCAGGCCACAGGACAATCAGAACACTAATGAAAAAATTCTCTGATATTTCTAGTTTTTTCTCCCACTCCTTCTTCTTCTCCTCCCTCCCCCGCCCCCACCCTCTTTCTCTGGTTATTTCCCCCAGTCTCTCCTTTGTTGTACATGGCCACAGCCTTTGGTAACACAATTGATTTTATTCGTATTTGTCCGTAAGTGTTGTAATCCTGCCTCAGAGTTCTTGCTTAATGTAGAAACCGAGCAAATGTCGTGCTTATGCCAGGCTTCATTTCCAGTCATCTGACACAGGCCAGCTCTCAGGCCACTGCTGTGGTTCTCAGAGAGCCCTTTACTTGTGTACCCACAGTCCATTTCTCATCCTAGGACCTGGCAGCTCTGGCCAGGAATGAGAACTCAGTCATGTCATGACTTTCTGAAATTTCTTAGAATCCAAGATAACTCTCTGAGCCCCTTGTCCACTCCTTGAGCAGATCCTGCGTCTGGCACACCCCCATGAATCTTCGGGGGGATATTCATAATAAAGTAAAGATGTGGGAAGAACTCATACTGAGAAGTAGGCTTCTTAGCAGAAAGCCCCTTCTTCTGTTTTAGCAACCAGTAAAGAGTCATTTCCTCACCCAGAATGGCCTGGACACAGAATAGAAGAAAGAGATTCCCATGAGTACTGAAAAAAAATTAATTAAGTCTATTTCTCACTTAGGCAAACCTATTTCAGACATACAGGAAAGTCCTATGTTATCACATCTTATTTCTCCACGTACAGGCTTTTCTTGAAAACTGTCTAATTGACTGGTGTTTAAAACCACCATAAACCAAGGCTTTGGAGACCCAGGCTGGGAGAGACTCTTGGTCTGCACCAGTCTGGCCTGAAGTCTTCAGGCAATTTTCTGGTCATCTTCGTGGCCTGGTTTGCTGTCATTTCTGATGACTCATGGACCTGGGGACTCACTGTCATTCAATCTATTATATTGGTGATGCTCTTGTTCAATATGTTTATTGTTAAATTTTAGAACAAGAAGATTAATATAGAATATCCCACCTTACAGATGGATTTGACTGCTGAAATGTTGTATATACAATATACATTATAAATCAAGTCACATCATATGAATCAGAGGTTCTGGCCATCAAGAGGAATCCTTCTCTAATTCTTTTGTAAAGCAAAGAGTCATTTTGTAAAGGCAGTGAATGCTGGATGATTTACTCTTTCATGAAATTCTTACTTCCCATGACATATCTGTACTCACTACTGAAATGCATGCAAAGGCAAAGGATAGGATGGATGGAAAAAGTGAGACAATTATCCTACACACACACACACACACACACACACACTGGTTTTCCTCATCTATCTGATTTTTTCTGTTGAAAATAGTTTGAGACCTGAAATCCTAAAAATTACTTCCAATTTCCATGTTGAATGTATACAGATGATAGAAACCTGCCTTGTTTTGGAGAGTTGTTTCTTCTATGTTTTTCCTCCTTTCTGTTCCAATCCTAACTTACTACAGGGAAAAGGTCTGGAATTCCTGCTTGTGCAAAGGCAAAATGTGATACAAATTGAGATGTTCACTACACTCCACAGTATTAGCATTTTCAACACTTCCAGAAGGATGTAGTGCATCTTTTTCCTGAAACCAGGAGTGTATCAATTCCACGCTGCTATACTTTCTGCATTTTAAATTCTCAATTACTTTCCTCTGGCTTTGCAACTCAAAGTGCAAAACGCCAACTTTTTGTATTTAACTCTTTCTGTCTAAAACCCATATGACCACACAAATACATATATACATACATATGCTGTTATATAATGTGTTTTAAACCTCTTTTCATTTCAATGCAATAACTGATTTTTTTCATTGTAAAAAAAAAACCACAGTTGAATATTTTACATATCCATAGAGATAAAAAATATTGACTCATTGTTGAAATTTAAATTATGAATGTTTTTCTTAAGATAAACTCCACAAATATTATGCAGATCTGGTCAAATCAAGATTTACTGTCTTCCTACTATGTGAAAATAGCTAAGCTAATGAATTTTGAATGATAAGGAGATGAATAAGGTGTAGCTCCTGCCACCAAGGTGCTCCAATGCAGGAGACACATAAGCCATGAATTGCAATGTAACCTAGAATGGGATTGTTGCCATAGCACACAAAAGGAGCAATTACACTGATTTTTTTTTTAAAGAATATTGGGATAGCTTAGCAGAGGAGGGAAATTCATGTTGTATCTGAGAACTGAGAAGAGAAACCTTGATTCAATAGAGAGAATAAAGGTACTGAAGACTAAGCAATTTGCTTCTATTTCCCCCATGAATTATTTCAGTTAATGATCAATTTGTAAGAGCAAATGTACCAGCTTAACCATGGGTTCTGACAATTAGCTTTTACAATGAATTGCATCTCCTTCATTTAGATACATGAAAAAAATGCCTTTTAAAAATATTTAACTTTTTTCTTTCTCTCTTTGTCTCTGTCTCTCTCTTACACTTGCCTTTTTTTTTTTTTTTTTAATCTAAGAACAGTTACCTAGGTCAGTCAGGCTTTCTTAACAAACTGGATTGTTACTAAATCTGTTTAAGTGATCATGGGTTTCTTGTATCTTTTATCTTAGATTTCATTGAAACAATGAGTTCCACATTAGTGATAATAAATGAAAACCTGATCTTATTATCATGAAAAATCATCTTTTAAAGCAGCACTCCAGCTTTTTAATTCTGTTTGCTCTGAGCTACTTATTTTTCATTCCCCTTTAGAGTTTCTATTTAAACACACCTCTTTGTCACATGCTGATAAATATTAAAATACCAGGAAAAATCTGCCTGACTTATTTAAGCTGATAATAAGAACAAAACACAGGATGTGTGTGTCCTCCTTCCTTTTCTGGCTGTGGTTAAGCATTAAGGAGATTTTGAAACCTATAATTACGTAATAATTGGTATCACTACATTCTCTTCCCGATGAAAAGCCAGAATTTTTGTAGTTTGCCACAAAGACAGACAAAAACAAATTGCCTAAGTGGTATTGTCATTTCTTTGCTTCATTGTTTTAAAAGAATTTAGCAAAAGAATCCCTAGGTGCCAAGCTGTAGTAACTGTGCCAATAATCACAAAATGATCTTTTCAACAACATCTCTGGCTAATGAGCTAATTTATAGAGCCATAAATATCACATATTCTCCTAATGTTTGTCAGTATTTATTACAAGAAAAAGAAAACAGTTTAAATATTCAAATTGATGTCAAAAGCTTCTTATTGCATTTGGCTAACAGAAATATGAGCAATGGTGTCTCACTGGTAAGCTAAAATGATGAAATGATAGGAGTTTCAAAACCACCTCCTTTGGTCTCCAACTACATAACACCAGTTATATGTTAAAACACTCTATTTAGTTTCCTTTTATCAAACTTCTAAAGGAAATAGTACATCAGCACACCAGGTCTTTGAAGCCCCTGGACAGAGTACTATTTTCTTCTCTCTGTTTCATATCATGGGTTTCTCGAGGCAAACTTACTTTTATTTAATTTCTTCCTTTCACTTTTATTCTTATTCTCAATCTTTTCCTAATAAAAGTATTTTTTTAAAGCATGTACCATAAATACTTCGGAAACTAGCGAGCCAATGGAACCTATATTTTTGTTCCTTTGTTTTAGAAGTTGGGCTTTTGCATGATTTCCCTCATCCTCATGGCTGTGATACCAGTGAGAGAATGCAACATGCAAGGAAGGAAGATCGCTAAGTATAAACCAGTGGGAATACCATAGCTGGACAGAGAAGTGTTTGGTGTGAGGCAATCTCAACAGAGCTCTATTTCTTGTTTCTCCTGCAGTTTTGCTCAGGTCCACTACCACTCTAGCAGG